ATACTGGGGGTTGCCCCGACCCAGGTGCAGGACCTTGCACTTGGCCTTGTTGAACCTCATGAGGTTCACATGGGCCCCCTTCTCGAGCTTCTCCAGATCCCTCTGGATGGCATCCCATCCCTCTGGCATGTTGACTCAGCTTGGTGTCATCTGCAAACTTGCTGAGGGTGCACTCGATCCCACTGCCTCTGTCATTAACGAAGATATTAAACAGTACTGGCCCCAATACAGACCCCTTAGGGACACCTGGTCTCCATCCGGACATTGAGCCGTTGACTACTACCCTCTGGATGTGACCATCCAGCCAATTCCTTATCCACTGACCACGTCAAAGGCCTTACAGAGGGCCAGATAGATGACATCTGTAGCCCTTCCTGTGTCCACTGATGTAGTCACTGCATCATAGAAGGCTACTAGGTTGGTCAGGCAAGACTTGCCCTTGGTGAAGCCATGCTGGCTGTCTCAAACCACCTCCCTGTCCTCCCGGAGGATCTGTTCCATGACCTTCCCAGGCAGAGAGGTGAGGCTGACAGGTTGGTAGTGCCCAGGGTCCTCCTTTCTACCCTTTTAAAAATGGGTGCAATGTTCCCCTTTTTCCAGTCACGGGGGACTTCCCCTGACTGCCATGACTTTTCAGATATCATGGAGAGTGGCTTGGCAACTACATCAGCCAATTCCCTCGGGACTGTGGGATGCATGTTGTCGGGTCCCATAGACTTACGTATGTTCAGGTTCCTCAGGTGGTCTCGCACCTGATCTTCTCTTACAGTGGGAGGGACTTTGCTCCCCCAATCCCTGTCTTGTGGTCCATCCACGCGAGAGGTGTGGGAAGAGAGGTTGCCAGTGAAGACTGAGGCAAAAAAGTTGTTGAGTACCTCAGCCTTCTCCTCATCCATTGTTACCAGTTTGCCAGTTGTGTTCATCAGCAGGGGTGCACTGTCTTTGACCTTCCTTTTCTGGCTGACATACCTATAGAAGCCCTTCTTATTATTCCTTGCGTCCCTTGCCAAGTTCAGCTCCAGCCGCGCCTTGGTCTTCCTGACCCCACCCCTACACAACCGGGCAGCATCTCTATACTCTTCCCAGCATACCTGTCCCTGCTTCCTCTGCCTGTGCATTTCCTTCTTGCCCTTTAGTTTGACCAGCAGGTCTTGACTCATCCGTGCCAGTCTCTTGCCTTCCTTTCCAGATTTCTTACACCTGGGGATTGAGAGCTCTTGCGCTCTATGGAAAGCGTCCTTAAAGATCTGCCAGCTCTGTTTTGCTCCTTTGTCCCTAAGGGCAATTTCCCAGGGGGCCCTACTGACTAACTCCTTGAACAGATGGAATTTTGCCTTCCTAAAATTCAGGGTCCTGACTTTACTCTTCGCCTGACCCATATCCCTCAGGACTGCGAACTACACCAGTGTGTGATCGCCGCAGCCCAGGCTGCCTCCATTCTTGACGTCACCGATTACCTCACTTGCGTTGGTGACCAACAGATGCAGTAACGCATCCCCTCTGGTAGGGCTGTCTATTACCTGGCTTAAGAAGTTATCCTCAATGCATTCCAGGAGTCTCCTGGATTGCCTACAGCTCACTGTGCTACTTTTCTGGTGGGCGTTGGGGTGATTGAAGTCCCCCAGCAGGATGAGAGCCTGCGAGCGTGATGCCTCCTGTAGCTGGAGTAAGAAGGCTTCGTCAGTAGGCTCCCCTTGATCATGCGGCCTGTTGTAGATGCCAATCACAAGGTTCCCTTTGTTGCTTTGGTCTCTTAATTCATGCCCGTAAGCTTTCAACCTGCTCATGGCTATTCTTCAGAGACAGCTCTTCACAACCTATCCATGTCTTGACGTAGAGGGCAACCCCTCTGCCCCTTCTTCCCCACCTGTCCCTTCTAAACAGCCTATAGCCATTGATAGCCGCACTCCAGTCATGGGATTCACCCCACTAACTCTCAGTAATGGCAACTAGGTCATAGTTTTCTAGCAGCACGGTGGCTTCCAAGTCCTCCATATTTGTCCTGTGGACATCCATTTTCATTGTTAGGATTTTTAACATTTCAGTAGTCATCTGTGAAGTTCTATTCCTTTTTTCTTTTTATTTTGTATCCTGATTTTTGTCAGGCATGCTGGAAAGTAGAGGGTTCAGTCAACATGATAACTCTGAGAGTCTGTTGATGAATCTCAAATAGATTTGATCAACAATTTATCAGTCTTTCTGAATATTTCAGAAGAAGCAGTTAAATCTGTCAGGTACTGTAAGCATGGTTCCATGGAGTTTAAACCAATGATGGTCCCAGTTGGCAAGATCCTGCCTCTAACCCCCGTCCCCATCCCAAATTTTTATACCTGTTTCCTGCTTTGCACTGACTACATTTGAATGCAAGGCGAGTCAGAGGTAGTTGGAGGGAGGGACTGCAGAAACCCAGCTTTAAATCAGCTTAAACTGCTGTGGAACCCAGCCTTGAAAGGAAGGTCTCTTGTTGCAGCTGGTTCAGTTGTCGAGCAAGAACAACATTGAATTTTCTGAGAGGCTCTGAGGTCTTTTTGGTACAGTAATGAATTCCTCCTACCATATATTGGTATGCCCCTGAATAGACACATTTTTTATTATGGTTTTGTCTCAAAAAATATTGTAGGGTTTTTTTTGGGGGGGAGGTTGTTATTTGTTGAGGCTAGGGGAGGGGGATTAAAGTCTAGTTTCTTCCCTGTCAGCCACCTGGGTCTGTTCAGTTAAACTAAAAAAATCACCTGGATAGGGCATTCTAAGTATTTGTAGATTTTTTTCATATAAACCTCTTTAATTACGCATGTTAGTGACTTTCGTCCTCAGGTTGCCAAAGTATTCTGTAGCTAATATAGATTAATAGAGATTAAGGGCAGTAAAATTTTTAGATCACAGAACATTTGGTTTACAGACTAGAAATTTGTATTTGTTTACTGTAATTCTTCACAGAAGCATACGGTCTTCTGTTTTGAAGGTACCAGATGAAGAAGAACCTGCCTCATCTGGTTATTTTCACTGGTTAATCATCCACTGCTTAAAAGAAAAAAAAAAAAAGTCTAATTTCTGATTTTGAATTAATTTTGGTTTGCCACCCAGTCAATTGTATTGTCATTTCTGCTGTGCAACGTCGAGGAATCCTGTAGTTCCCAGTCTATGTTTCCTGTAAAGGCATAAGTCATCCTCGGTTGTCTTTCTGATAAGTGTTCTTTGTAAGGCATTTTCCTTGATTCTCGAACCATTTCTGTATTCTATCCAAGTTTCTATTGTTCCCTTTAAATGTGAGGACCACAATGTTAGGCGCTTTTCTACCATGTGTATGAATTTGTATATGGTTTTAGTGTTGAAAAGTTTCTTCTCAGATTTTAACTACAGTGGTTGTTTTAATGCTTTCTACTGAAGAAGGTTATTTGAGTTGCTTTTTCACCATGACTCATCAAATGCTTTTCAGAGTTTGCTTTCCGGATTACAGCCCTTCATTCTGTGGCCTGCTAGAAGTTTGACTTGGAATGTATAGAGTTTTTAGTGTAATTCAGTAAGCCAGAGAAAAAACAGTTTTGAATGATGACCAGTTATTTACAAGCTGAGAGAAGATTTGCTGCTGATTTTTCTGAGTTATCCTAAAGTGATAAAACTCAGAGAAGCAATATATGTTTCCGCACATGTAAATAAAAGATATTTTGCATATAAGTAAGATAAAAACTCATTTGTACTACCTCATATGCTAGTAGGGGAAAAAATGTTTTGGCTCATACCAAGATTGGTATTAGCTAATTTTAAGATCCAAATAGAGATATGCAACAAATTAGTGTGCTAATATAAGTGACAAAATAAAAAAATTAATGCACTAACCTTTTAATTTTTACATCTTAATTTTATTCAGAGATCACAATGCAGACGTCGGAGGCTGGGTCGGATACAGGTTCAACTGTGACTTTACAGACATCTGTGGCTGGCCAGGCAGCAGTGCCCACACAGGTAGTACAGCAAGTACCAGTTCAGCAACAGGTAGGTGGCTGTTAGTTTTGGGAAGATTAAAAAAAAAAAAACCAAAAACAACTCAGGAAGGATAGTTCTTCACAGTGTAGCGAATAACTTGATTTTGTACAAGGCTGCTAAATGAACTCTCTTGTTCTGCTTTTAACAATTTTATTTTGCTGGAATTAAAATAGCCAGAGAAAGGCAAGCTGTTTTCAGGATCTGTTCCTTAACTAGAGCATCTGACAAGCACCAGTAGTACACATACATGATTCTAACTGTAGGTTATTATGGAATTCATGTAATAGCTCATAGGCATTTACTTTATGTTACTGAATATTTACATTTTTTCCTTTAAATAATGAATATGTTTCTGATATTATTGGCTGTATCATTTCTCCTTTCATTTGGATGTCCAAGTAAGTGCAATACAAATGTAAAAATTATAAGCATTGTCCTTTGCATCTCTAGGCTTGACTCCCTGCAGACCTTTGTACAATGTCATTAAAGTATTTGTGGTATGACAATAGGTGATTCATGATGTGCATTTGCCAAGGAAGTAAGACGACTTTCTAGTAGCCAGCACAGTGCATACCTCTGTTACATGAGACGGTCACTCACCTATGCAGCATCCACAAGCTTTGGAAGTAGTGGTGGCTGAAGAAAATAGGGAGGAAAAAAGGAAAAAGTATGGAGGTAGAAAACAGGGACTGAATGTGAAAGCCATGACAGCTGTCCAAGACCTTTCCAGAATACACAGAAATTAGCTGTCCATGTGACAGGTGCTCTGGGTGACACCTGATGTTTTTCATCAAAAACTGACTTCACAGTTTCAGAATCAATAATATGAGAACTGGACATAGTTTATTAAATAGTGTAATTTGTTTCTGTGCCCGTGGAGCACTTTCCCCTAAATTAAATTCTTCAGCATTTGTTAAGTTTAGTTCTAAAATTCCAGGTGGTGCATTTTTATGTATATGTTACACAATCTCATACATTTCACTAACATTTTTTTCTTGATGTACAGACTCAATTTATAATGCCTCATAGTTCAGTTACTATAGTTGCTTCTTATATCTTCGTGCATCTTTCAGGATGCAAGCTTGTTTTTTTTAAAAACTGATTCAAAAAAGCATTGAATTTGGACTTACAAAATTTTATTTAAATGCTTGTCTTTGTGTATTTGCTCAGAATTCACCACTAGTGAATCAAGAATTGTTTGAAATATTTTCTCCTGAGTTCAGATTTAAATAGCTCTCTCTCTCTTTACTTGAATGTTGATTAGGATAGAAGCTTTTGAATACTATGTTAGGTTTTAATTGAAGCTTCCATGATGCTTGAACTTAGCTGACCTTTCTAGGAGATTTTGTCTGGTTAACTCTTTTGTAAGGTTTGTGAAGTGCAAAACTTTTTTTCTTTATGAAATACGATCTCGATAATTTGTCTGATTTTTTTTTTAAATGTTGTCTCATGGTGTCAGATGTTTAATATATGTAGTTTATGTGATTTGTTCTTTGTTATTCCTATATTTCAGCTTTTCAGATAAAAGATGGCAATTTGGTAGTGCTACACAGTTGCTTATTTTAAGTAAATAGGATATACATATGATGGACTAATATTACATACTGAATTTTATCCATGTGAAGTACTGATCAGTGTGAGGGATTGAAGATTGGTAACCAGCTAGTGGCATATAGGATACTTAGGATACTTTATAGTATTGTAGTTCTAGTAATTGGATTGATTGAACTGTAAGGATAGGATCTTCTATGCATTTCTATATTTTTGTCACAAGCAAATGAAGAATGAGCAGGGCTTTGGTGTTTATAAACTTTGCTTGTGCAAAGTTTCTGCCTCTCTGGAAACTTCTAGGATAGAATTGGCTCCTTATTTTCCCACATAAATAATACATTAATCTTTGTCACTCACTGTCTGTACCTTTTCTGAAGTTATTCCAGTTGTCCTTTATTAATGTAATACTCATGTCAGAACACAGCAGCCCAGGAGTAGATTGCTTTTTTCTTGCTTGATTATACCTTAATGAGAACAGGAAATGGATTTTTTTGTTTGTTTTGTTTTTGTTGTGCTGTCTGAGTATGTAAACTGTCCCTGATCAACCTTATCTATGTCTCCTTTAGTACTGCTGCTTCTGAGTATTCCCTTTCATTGAATACTCCATCATTATTTTGGATTATTTTTCCCTGTGGGGATATTAGATTATATTTTTCCAGTTGACTCTTTAACACTGACCATAGGAATCAGCATAATGTTTCAGAAAGGAAAGCTAAGGGATCAACCCAGCCAAGGAAGAGGATTTTCTTCAAAATTTTGCAGGGATTGAGGATGCAGCAAGAATGTTGGGAAATCCAGTGCAAACAGTGTTGCAGTGATTAAAACACAGTATGTGTGAGAGATTTGTGTAGAGAGAGAGAGGATAGATTATGGAAGTGGATGTGTGGTGAAGGAGAAAAGGAAGAGTGAAGATGTGAATGTGATATGCCAGCAGGAAATGTGATAAAGAATGTAGGTGGGATAGGTAATTTCAATTGTAGGGTTAAAAAAAAAAGGGAATATCAAACATTGAAACAATCACTGTGTTGAGGAAATTGTAGGTGTGATCTGCCCTGAGAAATTATCTGTGTGTAGGTCGCATTTGCCTAAAGGCAATATCGAATTTATGTACATTTGATAGGAATGGGCCAATTTGCCTAAGGAAAATCAGGAGAAAGAGTGCTAATTTCATAAAGTCATTCTTTTGGTGGCAGAGGGGGCGCTTATTTCTGCACATTCAAAGTTACCAATGTTGAAAGTTGGAGAGAAGGTTTTAGGTGCATAGTATATAAGATATGTTTTTGGTTTTTTTTCTGTGGTTTATGATATGCTAAATAATGTCAGCTGTATCCAAACTATGTGTGAATATTCACATTTGGGTTATATTCTCTTGTGAATATAATTTACTAAAACAATAGGGCACTTGAATTTTTTTAAATTCAAAGATACTGTAACGTAAGTGTCTGTATATGCAACATTTTGGCATAAGCTGAAACTTCTGTATTATATTTACAGTATTTTATGAGTACTTTTTAGTGAATAATGCCATTTTAGATGAATTTGTTTCTAATTAGTATTAAAGCAGTGTATAGTATTTAATTTTTCCTAGTGAGGTCTTTGTTTCCCATGTTTCCATTCCTGTATATACACCATACTTAAATGACATCTCATGCATGGATTGATTTGGGGTTGTTTTCATGGCAGCAGTGTTTTATTTATGCTCACAAAATGTATGATATCTTTTTCAAAATGAAATATTTTTGCCCTGAAGAAGAGCAAGCTGAGTAAGTGGAAAGGTGAACTAAGAGCTTTTTCCTACAGCTGTGTTTGTACTGAAGCATCCTGTCTTTTGAGCAAACAGCGAAAGAGTAACTTTTGATATTTTCAGCTAAAACAAATCCCTAATTTGCATATAGCTAGTATAAATATGGGTTCATAAAAGTCTGCTGTGATGCTCCAAAAACAGGGTAGAAAAAAAAAAGGCACCATTAATCAAAACCTGGGCTTCCTCTCTGGTAAAAGTGGTACTGGTGGCAGCTGGTTTCATGCAGCACAGCAGCTGTCACTGTTGAGATGGGATAGAGGGGAATGGTAAGGGGACAAACATATCCACATGTAAGCAAAAAGCAACAAGAGTAAGACCAAAAAGATGGGAGTGTAATTAAATTCCATTTTAATAGCCTGAGGAATTTTCTTAGTCTTTTGTTTCCTCAGACACAGGGATTTTTCACTAATGTATCATTGGTTTTTCAACAGGCACTCTTTAGTACAGTGCAGTAAGCTTCTAAGGATTCAAAATTAACCTCACTTTGTAGTTTATGCCATGCAATGTGGAAGGATTGGAGAAATAAAACTAAAAATAGTCATATAATCTATTTTATAAAAGTATATCCATGCATAAGAAGTTGAGCGACGCATTTCTTCATATTCACCATACAAGATGGTCATCACGTTCACAAAGCATTGTATCATTAACTGGACATGCAGACTTCCGCTAATCAAAATTGCTTTTTAACGCAAAATCATGTTAAGCATATGAAAAATGTAATCATGAACTGACATTATCCATTCTATAAATATGAATATGCTTAGAGTATTACAGCATGTGCTATTCATGCGTTGCTTGCCAAAAGTAATCCAGACTAATGAAGGTAAAAAAAATTATTTTTATCTCTGAGAACAGAAAATGATGCACATCCAAGTTGTTTGCATAGGCACTGTAGATAATTATATGTTCTTTTTTAAATGGAATTTAAAAATCCGTATAGATTTTGCCCTATTGTTCCACTCCTTGCTTAGTAGTACTTTGAACATAAGCACTTTTTTGTAATCAAAATTCTCTCTTAAATTTTGGTTTTATGCTTCAGTGTAATTTCTGCATTTCAGTATGCTTTTATGCACTTTATTTTTGTTGACAAACTCTCATAGATACAATATAACTTAGTCCCTTATTTGTTCCTCTGAGATAGTATAATTAAGAATGTAATTTATTTTCTTTTTTTTTTTTCTTCAACAGTAATTATAGTTACACATGTACATTGAAATAAGTTTTCATTCACCTCTTGTTCTTCTGGAACATTTCAGCTGCTTACTTCTAATCCTATTTCAGTTATTTATTTCAGGCTAGAATCACTGAAGCAAGAGGAATGAAAGATCTTCTGTCTGACCCTACTTAACTCATTATTTCCTATACAAGTCAGTTAATTTTCTGTTTTCCAGCCAGGCAATAACAACAATTACCATCACTAGCTCACGAGTCCACCCCAGAACATACAATTTTTGAACTTGCATACTGTCACTTTTTAATAAATATTAAATTTTGTTTTCTATTTTCAACCTGAATCATTTAATTCTTGGTGTGTTTTTTAATACAAGAAGGCCATTTAGGTTTAGATCTCTGTTGAATATTCTCTCTGTGATCTCCAATTTCTACTCTGCCCCAAAACCTAAAGAACATAGCTGACACAATTCCTTTAACAGCTTAATAAAAGGTGCAAGGAAAATGATAAATGAAACAGAAGAGAATAAAGAATTTTATTTTTTTTTCAATTTCCACAAAAAAAATTGGGTTTTTTTGGTGGTGTTTTGTTTCCTTATAAGCAACTTCTCAAATAATTCTGTGCTCATAGAGAGTAGATTATGCATTTCATTTCTTCCTGTTGTTGAAGATTAAAAAGAAAATCCAGAGGCACTAGATTTAATTCTCATGGGAACATTTTTCCCAAGATGAAGTAAAATAGGAACTAAAATTAGTATTGGAGATATCATATAAAAAGATTTTCAGCATGGCAGAATTTTCATATACAAGGAGGCCATCCTAAAGGCCACTTACTTATTTTATTTGTCATTGCTTGACAGGAAAAATATTTTCGTCTAACTTTCTCTACCTTAAGGTTGTTATGTACATTGCAATACAATGTAATGACTAAAGCTTCCTTGGGCACCATAATCAATTTAACCGTAGCAGTACTGAGTTTCAGAGAAGCTGAAGCAAAACAACTTTTTTAATAAACTGTCTTTTTTTATTACTGTATTGGAAAAAAATTAACCTAATTCAGTGGCCCTTTTGTATTGAACTTCATTGTTAAAATTTAAAGGAAAAACATTTTGATCTACAGAAGTAGAAAAGATGTTTTAATAGTACTGTAGTGTATACATTCTTAAATGTTGATTTAAAAAATAAGTTACTTTATTTGCATAAACAATCATGACATTTCTAGTAGTACTGCATATTAGGCTAATAAAGAATTTATATAAAAATCGGTGAAAATTTGAAATTAATGAAAACTTTAATTTTAACATTTTTTGATATTTTGTTTTATGGTAAATTAATTTGTTGTTGTTGTTGTTGTTGTTCCAAATCAGAAAATAAACACATTTTGGAATTTTTCAGTTTCCTGTCTAATAGACACCGAGCTTTGATATACTCTGTACCACTTTGTCCCTGTAGTATCCTCTCAGTTCTGTGGTAAAGGTCTTGCACTGTGCTGAATCCGATGTTTTCTCACTGTATAGGTTAAGTAGATCAGTTTGGTGCTCTGTAATAGGCTGATCAGCAATGATTCCCCTTCTCCCATTGATTAAAGGTCATAGAACTTGAGTCACCCAAGAGGGAGAAATACTTTTAGAGTCAAACTTAAAAACTATTATGTTGTGTTGCATATATGTTTCACGGTAGAGCGGATACACATTTTAGTGAGTTATTGCATGCGTAGATGCTTTTGTCACAGATTGGCAAATTTGAATATTGAGAGGTACTAATTAATAGCAAGCTTACAGGCATAATTTTCTTATAGTGGATTTGGATCAAGCCCACTCCATGAAATTATGATTTGAATTAATTTAAGTTATGAAGTCAAAGGTGATGGAAATAGTAGTTTAATTCTTGGAAAAGGTGTTTGCACAATACAGCTATTTATGATTTTTAGTTCAAAAAAACTGTTCTAAAGCCTGGTAATGTGCATAATTTGGATCAGAGGGTTTTTTGTGTCGGCTTTTTGTTAAATAACTAAATAAAATAACTAATATCTTTAAAGTATATTTTTTTGAAGTTGAGAAATTGTATTTCAAGTATATTTGTCTATTTATGTAATGATTCATGTGGGAAATCAGAAAACTGGATTTTAATAGATATTTTAACTACCGTGTTGTGTCTCGTTAATGGGCAGAAACATCTGATTTTCTATCATGCTCGTATAGCTGCATTCAAAACCTTGGGTGTTTTGGTTTTTTCCCCAAATTCACTTTTTAATGTCAACCTAAGGGAAGGTTTCTGTGAAAATCTAGATTTTCCTTTCACAGTCTGAGTCAATACTATAAGAGACTAAGAAAAATGTGCTTATTTACAGAACTTTTTAAAATACAGCAGAGTTGAAGGTATTAGACGAGGCTGTTCTCAAAGAGCCCTTGGATCCATCAAATACATGAAACCCAGATTCATCTGGGATTATGGTGTGTGCAATCCTTAGGACCAACTGGATCAGGCTGAAGTTGCCTCATAACAAAATACCTGAGAAAAATAACAGTCACTTAAAAGTAGTTTATGTTAAATCTATTTACTAAATATGTGCATTGTCACTTTCTTGATTCAGTTCCTTGAGTAAAATTGTGCCAGTCTGTGAAGTCTCTAAGTCCTTTTACATCTTTTAGATTCTGGACTGCTCTTGAACCAAAATACGGCTTCTCTAAATGATGGCAAGTGTAAAGTATGGAATTCTTAATCTTTACTGTAGCAGAAGACAAAAAATTAACATTGGAGAGGAAACTTGCATAGCTTAGAGCTTGCCTACATAGTATATGAATCAAAGCAATTGATTTGTGATTATGTGCTTTTACAAAACAGGCATGCCATCTCAGCAATATATGTGAAAATAATCCATGCCTTACTGCCTTTTGTTGTTTAGCTCATTGATGTAAAACCAGGTTTTGTTGGAGTTTGTTATAGCTGATGATATTCTGGGAAAGGGGTTACTCAGATTGGGGGTTTTGATCCGTAATTGTACATTGGGTCAAAGCATTACTGGGAAAAAAGCCTGTAGTTTCTGTAGTTAACTGTAGTTTAATTCCAGTTAAACAAGAGCTAAACCATCTTAATGTGAACCTTTATTTCTAAACTTACTGCAACGCATTTGAGCTGTGATTTTAGGGCTTGTACTATTCAAGACTGAAACGGAAAAAGAAAAGGCATACATGTGGCCAAATGATACTTTCTTCCATAGTAAATGTAATTCTTCAGCTTGGTGCAAAGCGTAGTTACACTTAATTTTATCCTTACTATGCTTTCCAGTTAATTCTGTCTTTGGCACTGAAGGCATGCATGCTCCCTGAGTGTGCATCTTCAATGTTAGGGTTCCGTTTACCAGACTTACAGCACAAATATTGTGTAAGAACAGTAACTTTCTTTGCTATTGCTATGACATACCGTTAGTAATTATAAGAACAGAGATATCCCATATTGTTTAGAAGCCGTTAGGTGCACTGAAGCATCGCTCCTTCTTTACAGTATCCCAAATTTCTGATGTTCTTGTTTTCAGGTACAGCAAGTGCAGACTGTGCAACAGGTACAGCATGTCTACCCAGCCCAGGTTCAGTATGTGGAGGGAAGTGACACAGTCTACACTAATGGAGCAATGTAAGTTGGCAAATGATCAGAATTTCAATGTTTATTAAAATGTGAAGTTAAATCTATATTTTCGGTTAGATTCTACCAACTAGTGTATTTTAAGTTGGAAAGAAAAATGATTGAATCAAAGCTCTTTTGTTGTCAAAATAGTTTTTTGGATGAAAAGCTGAATTCACACTGTTTGTTTTTATTAAGGCAATTTTTGTGTAAAAAGAATTCTTGTGATTGTTTTAGTTGGACTAACATGAAATTACATACACAGCATAGTGTTGTTTGAAAAAGTACCTTTCAGTTTATGGGTAAGTTCTGTCCATAGGACGTACTGTGTAACTTCTGTCCTCAGGACAGAAGGCAGGGCCTTCTGTCTTCCTGGCTGCAATCCTAGTGGCAAATGCATAGAAAGGTGCAGCAGCTGTAGTTATTATTTAAAGAAAGTAGTAATGTCATTTCATTTGTGTGCTTAATAAAACAAGTATTTTTTTCTGAAGGAATGAGAGGCAGAGGAAGGAGAGTAACATTGTCTCCTTTTGCTGCTTCTTTAGCCTCTTTTCTGCACATTATTGTGCATTTCCTGCTTCCCCGAAGATGCTTTTCCATCATCAAGTTCCCTTCTCCAATACACAAGCTTAGAAACATAGAAAGAATAATCTAGGTTTGATGGGACCTCTGGTAATCCCTGACTTAGAGCAGTACCAGCTTTGAAATTGGCTCAAACATCAAAGTAGGATCGTGTTGCTTGGGAAGGAGCTTCTCTACCTCTTTTTTATTTACCTACCTGTTGCCATTTTTGCTGTGTTACTGGCTTTAGGAAGAAATATGATTTAGAAAGCTTCTTTATTCTCTGTAGGTACCTGTTGATGGTAATCCAAAAGTGATTCAAAAGAGCAATATTATTTGGATCAGAGACTTCTGATGTTAACACTGGCAGCATTCTTTGGTCATCTCTACTAGCATATTTTGCTTAATTCATTTTTCAAATTCTGTCTTGTCTGTTTTCTTCTCACTTGTAAATCCTAAACAATATATCTTAAATATGCATTAGACTTCCCTTTTGCACTGGTTTTGGCTGGGATAGAGTTCATTTTCTTCATAGTAGCTAGTATGGGGCTATGTTTTGGAATTGTGCTGGAAACAGTGTTGATAACAGGGATGTTTTAGTTACTGCTGAGCAGTGCTTACACAGAGTCAAGGCCTCTTCTGCCTCTCACACCACCCTACCGGCGAGTAGGCTGGGGGTGCACAAGAAGTTGGGAGGGGACACAGCTGGGACAGCTGACCCCAACTGACCAAAGGGATATTCCATACCATATTGACATCATGCTCAGCATATAAAGCTGGGGGAAGAAGGAGGAATGGGGGGACTTTCGGAGTGATGGCATTTGTCTTCCTAAGAAGCCATTAGGCGTGATGGAGCCCTGCTTTCGTGGAGATAGCTGAACACCTGCCTGCCAATGGGAAGGAGTGAATGAATTCCTTGTTTTCCTTTGCTTGCGCACACAGCTTTTGCTTTCCCTATTAAACTGTCTTTATCTCAACCCACGAGTTTTCTCACTTTTTCGCTTCTGCCACCCCACTAGGGGGGAGCGAGCGAGCGGCTGTGTAGGGCTTCCGTTGCTGGCTGGTGTTAAACCATGTGAGTCTTTTTTGGCACCCAGCTTGGGACTATGGTCCCTGGCTGTGGTGTAAAGCATATTTTTTCATATCTTGTCCTCTTCAGACTGGCCCAAGTGCTATGGCACGAGCTATCTGCTGTGGGTCTGGTGTGCCAGGCCATCAAACCCACACAGTCCAGTAAACCTGGTTGTCCCTTTCCTCCATCTGGCTGGAGGCAGGGTCCCTTTATTCCTGGTCAGAATATTCATTACTTGATTTTTGTAACTGCAAAAGCCAAACCTGGTCTTCAACATGTACAGCAAAAAATGGAGCATGGCAAATATTAGGGCTGTGTTTCCACTCCTGGGGCAGTCAGTTCCAGATGTACCGGATGCCCCTCCAAGTAAAAGCAAACTGTGGCCTGCATTCTGCTGCCAAAGGGATCGAGAAGAACATGTTAGGAATATCAATTGTAGCATATCACTTGGCTGCCTTTGACTCCAGTTCATACTGGAGTTACAGCATGTCCTGTACAGTAGCACTCAGCGGCAGCATGACTTCATTGCGACCACGATAGTCCACTGTTAGCCTCCAAAAAAGGTCATTCTTAAATAGGCTATTATTCATGTTTCTCTTTTCATTTATCACTTGTAAGTTCTTATGTGACCTGTTGGCACATGCACTTTTGGCAGTGTATGAGATGTGTACTACATGACTGCTTACAGTTCTTAGAGAAAACAGAACTAGATGTTACTGACTACTCAGTACGAACCTTCAGGTTTCCATGATTTTCTTGTGTTTCTATATCTGAATCCCTTTGTCAGTTTCTGCAAAATCAGTCAGTGGGATATAAAAGACTTCCTTAACACAATAAGAAAGCTCTCCTTAGCAGGTGAGCCTAATCCAGATTGTCTTTCCCTCCTATAGAAGGAGGGAATTTACTCATGTTGTTGTGAACAACATTGTGAACAGCCCATTTGTTGTTCAATACTTTTAGGAACATCAACCTTTCTAAAGATTATGGTTTCATTCATGGAGAATGGGACCAGTCTGTTTCTACTCAGAATTTTTAAAGACTATATGTTGTGAAACACATTTTCCTGTATACTTTTATACTCCAGGTTAAGAATGGAAAAATGTCATTTATGTAAATTAAAGTTATTGAATATATGTATTACATGTTATAATGCCATTTATTTGATAGGTGAAGGAGAACAGGACGCTAGGTTGCTGATGGCTAGCTTCCTTCAGAGATTAAAGAATTGTTTTTCTATTTGCTCTTTTTATTGTCATCTAAGTTCTGTGGTTTAAAAAAATTTGTATTTGTTTCTCCTCTTCTTGTTTTGCCACTGGATTAGCTTGCTCAGAGCTATATCAATGTGGGAGTGACATTTTAGAATTTTTGGAAGTGAACAAAAAGCTTACCATACCCCTAAACAAAGCTGGCATAGACTGTGTTGAGTTCTGCTGTGACAGAAAACACAGAGGCCAGTGTCTCTTGTGCTAAAATGTTTAGGCAAGTGTTCAGATTGTAGTTCATCTGTTTCTATTCTTCATACTAAAATCTGTGAAAGATGAGCCTTGTGGATCCTGACAGATTCACAGAAGTGTGTTACAGCCAGTTTGTCCAGTTATTCCCACTCCAGAAATTGTCTGTTTCACTTTCAGAAAATAGGATTAGGTTTGTAAATGATGCGATTGACTAGAGTGATCGCTGGTTTGTCTTTTGGGTTGTCTTCCTATGATTATATGCTTGATTTATTTTATGACCATCCTAAATCAAAATCTTAATTCTATCTCAAAATCAGATATAGAATGCTTCCATAATCTATCAAGTGACAGTACTGCTGTAGCAAAGGAATAAGAAGTCTGCAATGCATAGTTAGGGTGAAGACATTAATTCAGTGTACAGGCATCTCTGGAATAAATGTCTGATGAAAGAATTATTCTTTATTTCAAAATAAAACACTTGCAAACTAGCATTGATTTAAGTCCATATATGATAGCAACAAAGGATGCAGTTAGAATATATGTGAGGAAAGAGTTACCTGATTCTTTTGATTCTAAAGGTAAGAAGTTTGTCAGGTTTCACAGTCTTTGTCAAGTGTAACTATTGTATTCTTATAACACAATTCTTCACACGCATTTTATATCAAGATTTGTCTACGCTTAAAAGTTGTTTGGTTTTATTGTAATTGGAGGCATAATGATAATACAAGCAGTGTAACCTACAACTTGTCACATACATTGTATAATATGCGAATATTTGAATTATGTTATCCAAATTTGTGTCTGGTTAATAACAATTTTGCTTGTCAAGCATGTCACTCTATCCTGAAACAAAAATGCATTGTTGTTATGATGACTTGTACAGGCTTACCTGGCAGTTTAGAATAGATAAAGAATATTATGGCTGTACCTATATTAAGAAGCCAAGTGAGTCCCCTATACTAGACTTGAACTTTCTTCTTACATAAATTGTAATGTGTTAATCAAATGTAGCCATTTACCTGATAATTCTGGTGTGGCAAAGAGGGTTTTAATTGCTGGGATTGTCCAAGAATTGCTATTGCTGTTGCATCCAAACTGCATTCTTCACCATTTGTTGTACTACAATTTGTGTGGTTTATGTGGGCAAAACACACCTTGTATGCAAAACCAAGAAATTACTATTACTCTAATTGAAATCTTAACTGTCAAATCAAAGAATTATTAACAACAGAGTTGAAGTTGTTATCTTCCTAGTACTTCCTAGTATCCATCCCTTTTTCTCTGGCATTGTTCTTACCCTTTTACTACCCCTCTGCATACGAAGGTTAATGGCTTGCATCTGAGAAAGGGTTACAGCAAGTTACCACTGTCACAGGTGTTATGCCTGGAGAAGTATGATGGATGGGACGGGGTGCTCTACTCATACTGGGTCCACCTGCAGCTATTTTTAATATGTTTTCTAGCACAGTCTACAGCTTATTCATTCTTCATTGGTTTCCATTTCCATATTACAACTGAATTTACTATTTATGGTGTGTTTTACATTTGCTGGATACTTCTTGAATACTGTCATCCCACGCTCATGATTCTCTGCTACATTTTTAAGCTAGGATCATGGATTGTTTATTCTACACAGAATAGCTATTTGATATTACTGTCTGTTAGTTAGAGCAATGCATCAGCATTTTAATGATAGGTTTTATACCACACAATCATAGAAAACTAAGCTAAAATGAAAACAGATTAAGTAACATTTATCTGATTGTTCATCAATTACTGTTACAGCTAAGCAAGAACAAAGCTCTAGGCTAGCACAGACAAGTCTAGACAAAGGAAGCCTGACAAGCCCAAGTCTTGAGGTCTTCCAAATTTAGTACAAACCCTGTGACATGTTCCTAACAGTGGCAATACCATATTTCTTGGAC